ATGTAAAGACATATATGTCTCTTGATCCATTTTGACTTCCCAGTAACAAAACATTAAGGAGTCACTGCTACAATCAAGTTACCAGTATTGAAAAAAAGGTTTTTTGTTTTGTTTTGTCATGGATTTTCATTGGTGTGTGACAGTCAAGCAGGAATGTCTTAAGGGTTTTCTCCAGAGGTGGCTATGGCTAAGAATTAGGTCTGCCAGGACTTAAACCCTTCATGTTCAAAAGCACAGAATTCAGTATTGTTAATTCGTGATGTGGGACATAAGTCTTGCAGTCTGCTTTTGAGAGGAGGACAGAATCTATTAGGTTGTTACCCAAATTCCAAGGTTAGGCTAGCAAGTGAATGTGTATGTGATATCTCCAAGGTCATTATCACTACAGGAAAAAAAAAAGCCACTGTTCTCTGAAGGGCAAAAAAACCCACAAACCTTTGATCTGTAGGAAGAGTCAGCATAGATCAAGAAATTGAAGAGAGTTCAGCATTCCTATAACTAGAATGGAAACTCTAGATTGCTAATTGAGTCAGTGTTTACTAAGAAAAGTTTCTGTTAAGATACAACATCAGAATGCCAAAAATGTATTTATATTGAAACTAGTTGATTTTTTCTTTTTTGCTTACTTTTTTTTTGGTTAGGTTGATAATTAAATGAAAGCTGCTTTGAGAGCAAGCATAAATGTTGAAATTCTCTGCTAGCACAACAGAAGTGAGTTCAGTTTTTGGCCTCATGTCATAGGCAGCAATCCAAAAATCATCATAGCATTTAGTTATTTGTCTAAAAGGATCCATCTTAATTAGTTAGATTGAAATGATATTAACATTTTCCCCCATAGTTACTGTCTATCCAAAGATGAGACTATGTTTTAGGGTGTTAATGCTAATCTTGACCTTCTTATCCTGAGGCAGGGCTAGAAAAAAAGGACAGGGGGTGGGGATGGCAAAGGAATCAAAGCATGCATTTTTTTGCTATAAAGTGCTATTTTTTTCCACCTTCATGAAAGCTGACAATTAGGAAAAAAAGCATTCTTTAGGAATCTTTACTCAAATTGGAGGAAAATGAAATCGAGTCTAAAAATTTTTGGCTCATCTTACAGGATTCTGAATCAGATCCACATACACTCATCAAATGGAGGAAAATATTTAAAGTGTTCCATAAGCTCTCATTATGCTATTTTGCTTTTAATTTTCATGGCAATTTTCATGTAAAAGAAAGAGTTCTAGAACTGAAGTCAGAGGGTTCGAATCCCAGCTCTGTCATTTACTACTCTTATAACTTAAGGTAAAATATTGAATCCCTGCAGACCTCAGTTTCTTCAAGAGGAGATAAGACTAGATGAACACTCTAGTCTCTTCATCAACTACTGCTATGATCCTGAAATGTTTATATAAGCAGATATGCTAGTCATTTAATAAACATTTATTAAATGTCTACTATGTTCCAAGAAAGTCTTGCAGCCTATTTTTGATAAGAGAACAGACTGGATTAGGCTATTCTAAATTCTAAATTTTAAAATACTAAAAATGTGAGGTGTACTGGGGATTAAAAAGAAATGTAAAAGACAATTTCTGCTCTCATGAATGTCATAGTCTACTGGAGAAACAACATGAAAACAAATATGTAGAAATAAGCTATATATAGAATATATTTAAGATAATCATCAGAGAGAAGGCACTAGAAATAAGGAGGATCAGGTAAGGTTTCCTGTAGAAAGTCAGATTTTAGCTAGGACTTGAAGGAAGCCAGAAAGTGGAATAAAGAAAGAGAGCATTCCAGTGTTAGGGACAGCCAATAAAAATGATGTTCAACAATTTGGAATTATGCATTTGACTACTACAGCGACTGTATCCTAAAGAGATAAAAGGGAAAAAAAAGGAAAGGGACCTAGGCACACAAAAATATTCATAACTCTTTTGTATGGGGGCAAAGAATTGGAAATTGAGGGGATATCCATCAATTAGGGAATGGCTGAACAAGTTGTGGCTAAACAAGTTGTGATATATGATTGTGATGTAATACTATTTTGCTATAAGAAATTATGAGCAGGATGGTTTAGGCAAAACTTGAGAAGATTTATATGAGTTGATGCAAAGTGAAGTGATCAGAATCAGGAGAACATTATATACAGTAATAGTGATATCAGATGATGATCAATGGTGAATGACCTGGCTATTCTCAACAATTCAATGATTCAAGACAATTCCAAAGGACTTAAGATGAAAAATGCTCTCTACCTCCAGAGGTGGAGTCTGGAGGCAGATCATAGCATACTTTTAAAATTTTTTTTACTTTCTTTAATTTTCTTATTTTTTGCCTATATTTTCTTTCACTATATGGCTAATATGGAAATATGTTTTGCAAGACTGCACATGTATAATCCATATCAAATTGTCTTCCTAAGGAGGAGAGAGAGAAAAGGAAGGAGAGAATCTGGAACTCAAAATTATAAAAAGATGAATTTTTAAAATTTAAATGTAATTGGGAAAAGTAATTTTTTTTTCAGAAAAAATGATGATCAGATTTGGAAATTGTAATGTTTAGTTTGAGGAACAGCAAGGAAGCCATTGTCACTAGATTGTAGTGTATATAGAGCACTGTGAGGGAAAGCTGGGACATAATGTACAAGAAGCCTGGAAAGGTGGAAGGGGGCAGGTTATAGAGGGCTTTAAAAACCAAGATTTTATATTTGATTTCAGAAGTGATAGGCACTTGAGCTTATTGAGTATGGATATGACATGATCAGACCTGCACTTTAAGAAGATCACTTTAACAGCTGAGTGGAGGACAGACTGAAATTGGGAGGAATTTTGGCAAAGAGACCAATCAACAGGCTATTGCAATAATTTAGGAGTGATGTGATAAAGGCCTGCAACAGGGTGCTGGAGCCACCATTATTCTTTTAAAATAAATACCATCTTTAGGGAATATGTAGAAAAAAATGGATATATGAATAAGCAATACTATTCAGTCAGTGATTATAAAGAGAGAAGTGACCTCTATCCCTTCTAGCTTTGCAAAATTTTTTGTATTTAATAGGTACCTGCTAACCCTTTATCTAAATCATGGATAAAGCTGTTATGCTGACAGGAATCATAGTGTAAGGGACAGAGAACTGACTTCAGTGTTAGGAAGACCTGAGTTCAAGCCCTACCTGTGGGAAAAATATATGCATGTGCATGTGCATGTGTGTACACAAACATACATACATGCATGCAGGCATGCATACCATGTGTGTGTGTATAGCGTGCTACATATAGCACAGTGGCTACACACAGGTAAACCACCTTGGCAGATGGGCTAAAACAGAGTTGAGGGTAAGCAATTGACCTCAAGCCCATCAGTGAGTAAGGGGAATGTCTACCCCAAGCATGTGAGGACTTCCCCTGCTGGAATGGGCAGATGAGAACAGTTTGTTCCAATCACCATGAAAGCTGCTGGAACAGGAGCTATGCAGTGATTAGAGCTTGGTCAGACATCAAAGACACCAAAGTCATCCACTAAATCCTGGGCAATTGCCAGTCATCTTGAAGTTTATCTTGCCACTCCACTCTGATAACTCTGGAAGAAAGAGTGAGGTTGATGATTTTGCACAACTGTCTCACTTAAATTCAATTCATGTGTTAGTCAACACATCACTTGTCATGTCTGAAAATGAAGGACAAAAATCAACAACAATTTCATAGTTTGGAAGTGGCTACCTTTTTTCATCTGGAAGATTCTTTCATTTTCAGCCTTTAGTGTTCTGCTTAGTCGCATTCTCTACCTAAAGTCTCCCTTCCTCAACCAGCAGAAAAAAGTAGAAAAATAGATTTGGCCAATTGGCATACCTTCTCTAAATCTTGCCACATATTTTGTATTTAGTGTATTCTCATATCCAACTTTCTGTCATGCCTTTAGCAGCTTTCCTGTGAAAATTTTGCAAAGCTAGAAGGGATAGAGGTGTATTATAGAGTCAGAATCCTAAATGATCTTTACTGCCTAGAAAGTTGGGCCAAATCTGGTAAGATTTAATTATGGCAGCTAGGTGGTACAGTGGATAGGGTGCCAGGCCTGGAGTCAGGAAGATCCATCTTCCTAAGTTGAAATTTGGCATCAGACTCCCACTACCTGTGTGACCCTGGAAAGTCACTTAACTCTGCAGTTTCTTCATCTATAAAATGAGCTGGAGATACAAATGGCAAACCACTCCACTATCTTTGTCAAGAAAACACCAAATGAGGTTGCAGAGTCAGACAGATCTGAAATGCCTGAATAACAATAACATGCCCTATCTGAGTCCCTTCACCAATCTGACTACCCTCTAATTAATTAATGTCCATATTCTAAAATGCAGTACCCAGAACCGGACAGAGTCTACTCAGATTGAAGTTTGGCCAGGATAAACATTAACTTCATAAAATGTAAGAGCAGTGATAATTATAATATTTAATATAAGGCAAAAGGAGAGAGAATCAAAAGGTAACAGTCCATCTATAAACCTGGGTCACAGTTTCCAACCAATATGTGCAATGTTCATGGGGAAAAGTGGAACACAGAAACATAGCAAAGAAGCATGCTAAGTAGAGAAACTCATCTTCCTAGGGCAATTCACAGCTGCTCTCATTAGAGAATAATCTGCACCTTGTACCACACCCTGACCAAAACTGTTTCTCTGCCATCATCTCATCTGGTCCTCACAGTTCTCCTGTGAGGCAAAAATGTTTCTCTACTACTCTTATGCTTCTGGAGCAGTTACAAACTCATATTAGCACACAACCCCCTTTGGCAGGATGCTGAGAAAGTGTTACATTTCTTCAATGACAATTTGCTTGAGCTAGAGATATACCAAAAACTTCTCACTTCATCTAAACTGTAGGGTCCAGAATTACCCTGCACAGAGATATTCACTCTCCTCACCCTCCCACCCCCAAACAGTGGGACAAGTTTTGATACCAAAGGAAGAGTCTGGGGGCTCCATAATGATTATAGATAATAGTTTAATCAATTGGGTTACTTACATCGGGGCAGAATCCCTGCCAAGATCCCTGCCAAGAATTTAATAAGTCATCAGTCTGGAGTGGTGGCCAGACTACAGGTTGGATCCCTGCTTCCAGATCCCAGGAAAGTTCAGTGGTAATTATGGAAAACAGACAAAGAGAGGAGGGACTAAAGAGTACAGCAGTCTTGATTGGTGGATATTTTTTAGTTTCTGCTTAGTAATGAGATCATTTCTGAGCTTGCGTATTAAGCTAATGTTGTTAGGTAAAATGCCCAAACGCAGTTTTGCGTATTGATCACGTACTGGACACAAATGAGTCACTATGTTTGTGTTATGACTGTTAACAGACACATTATCTGAGTTATGACTCAGCGTCTGAACTATTATTTTAACAGGTCACATGTCTGAGCTTCCACCTTTCACAGAGTTTAAGTTATGGCTTTCACTTCTTACTGTGTTTTATGGCTTTTCCACATTAGGGACCCCACATAAGCTGATGAGTTTTCTCCCTCTCAAGCTTTGTAGTGATAAGTCTATGTAGCATTTCTCTAGTGAATTTTTCCAGTAGTAAGGAATTCTGCTTTGTCCAATCAGCTTTCAGCAAAGCCAAGACTCTTCTCTTAGCAAAGCAGATGTAAAGTTTATTTTTATCTTCTTTATCTCTCTCTACAACCAGAGAGGATCACAGAGGGAAACACACAGAGGGAGCGACAGGGCAGCTAGGTGGCACAGTGGATAGAATACCAGGCCTGGAGTCAGGAAGACCAATCTTCCTCAGTTCAAATAAGGCTTCAGATACTTACTAGCTTTTTGACCCTGAGCAAAACATTTAATTCTACATGCCTCGGTTTCCTCATCTTTAAAATGAGCTGGAGAAGAAAATGGCAAGACTATCCAGTATCTTTGCAAAGAAAACCCCAAATAGGGTTACAAAGAGTCAGATGGAACCAAACAACAATATGTAATCTTTTGGGGGCAGCTAGGTGACACAGTTGATAGAGCACTGGGCTTGAAATTATGAAGATTCATCTTCATAAGTTTAATTCCAGACTCAGACACTTACTAGTTCTATGATCCTGGGCAAGTTACTTAACCTTGTTTGCTTCAGTTCCCCATTTGTAAAATGAGCTGGAGAAGGAAATGGCAAACCACTCCAGTATCTTTGCCAAGGAAACCCTAAATGCGATCACGAAGAGTTAGACACAAATGAAAGGACTGAACAGCAACAAAGAGCAATAAGCCCAGAAAACTCTGAAGAGCAGGAGGATTTACTTTTTCTTCTCATGTGCTTCCAGAAACCATCAGGCTCAAATTGGCCCCTGACAGTTGTACTTTCTTCTCTGAACAACTTTTCTCATCACCTCTTGTGCTTTCAGTCCCTGACAATGTTTTCTGTTCTTTACTTCTTTTGTTGTACTCTTCTGCTTACTTCTTCCTTTAAGTTTATTTAGCTTCAAATTAGTGCTTCCCCATAAACAGTGAGCTATGTCTGATTTATGATATGAAATTCAGAAATTCTAACTTTCTGTGATGTCTGACCCCAAAATTCCTTATGTAATCTCCCAGCAGCCCCCAGTTATTTGATTTATAATATCTTAGGTACAACCTTTAAAACTCTGAAAACAGGCACATGCAAACGAGCTGATGAACCACAGCTCTCATTACCTCAGTCAGTTCTCTGACTTTAAGCAAGCCCTTCACCAGATTTATCTGAGAGTTCTCTGTCTTCTCTATCTCTTCTTTGCATTTTATTAGATTGTTTAGTCTCATTGAGTTTTTATTACTTTTTTTTAAACAAATACTCCCCCTTACTTTGATTAAAGTGAGGCAAATTAATGGTGGACCTCAAAGGGGATGGAACATAACCAGAATAAAATACCAGTTCTATTTCATTTAAAAATAACTTCAAGGAATGCCAGACATCTGGGGAATGGCTGAAAAAGTTGTGGTATATGCTTGTGATGGAACAATTTTGTGGTATAAGAAATTACAAGCAGGATGGTTTTAGAAAATCTGAGAAGGCTTATATGAACTCATGCAAAGTGAAGTGAGCAGAAACAGAACACTGTACACAGTTATAGCAGTATTGTAAGGATGATCAGCCATGAAAGACTTAGCTAATCTGATCAAGACAGTGGCCAAGACAATTCAAAAGTACCCATGATGAAAAATACTGTCCATCTCCAGAGAAAGAACTGACAAATTCTGCATTCAGTTTGTAATATATTTTTTAATTTTATTTTTCACCTTTTCTGTGTGTTTTTGCTTTTGCAAAATGGTGAATATGGAAATATCTTTTGCATGATTTCACATGTATAATAAATATCAAACTGCTTTCCTTCTCCAAGAGAGGGGAGGGGCTAGAGGAAGGGAGATATTTTGGAACTGAAAACTTTAAAAAATGTTAAAATTTTACTTTTAATTGAGAAATGTTTAGTAAAATAAAATATTTGTAAAAAGAAAAAAAGAAAACATCAATTATTAAACCTCTAATAAAAGCACTATTGAATTGTTAAGAGAAAAATATTAACTTCAGGAAAACAACTAGAATTTAATCTTCATGCTGAATAGTTAGGCTATTTTAAAAAATATTTTTTCATTCATTAGTTATCTTGCCATTTTTAATATACCTGAGTAGATAATAGATAATAAGGTATAATGCATAGATTGCTGGACTTGGTGTCAGGAACATCTGGCTTCAAATCCTGCCTCTGACATTCACTTGCTGCGTGACTATGCCCAAGGCTTAAACCTTTTCCATACTCAGGGAACTCAGTGATGCTATCTGCTAAGTCATACATAGATTGCAGCATGTAGTAATGGAGGGAGTTCTCACACTGGAGAAATCACTTGGCCTTGAAGCATTGATATGATATAAGAAGAGAATCTTAATAGTAATAACAAAATATAATGTTAATAGAAAAACCATTCAGACTAGTATGTATAATCAATATACATGATTCCATTGTACCTTACTCTTCTTACAATTGTTCCTTATTGCTCTGGGATTATTGAATAATGTTAATGTACCATGATGAAAAAGAGTTGAAACAGCTGGTGTTACATTTCCACCTTATCTCTCAGCTGCTGACAACAAGAAGTAAATGGGAAATCTGAAAAGTCATTCTATTAATCACCATGACAGGAATAGTTTCCATTATGAGTTCTTTCATAGGTGCACACAAAAAGAATTAATGAAAAATTTTTGGCTGTGTGAGTCATCTGGTTTTAGGAGGGATTGAGTTCTAAACATAAAAGCACTTTAAAGTAATCTAAAATAATAAGAAGAGAATACTTCATGTACTCGAATATTGAATCCAAGTTATACGCAATATAGCTGCTAGGGTATAATGCTTTCCAGCTTGATTACCTTTAATTCTATTGCTACAGAAGACTGCCACTGAGGTAATTAAAAAGAAAGGTAATTAATAATTTCCAAGGGGCAGGATAACATTTTTCATTAGGTTAGTAGGAAAGGGGATAGGTTTATAAAATCCAGTAGCTCATTATTACTTCCAGGATCAAATATAAAGTTCTCTATTTGGCATTTAAAGTTCTTCACAGCCTGTCCACTTCCTATCTGTCCAGTCTTTTTTAAACATCTCTCCTCCACACACTTGACAATTAAGCTTCACTGTTCTACTTGTAGTTCCTCAAACAGTCAGTCAATAAGCATTTATTAAATATTTACTCTATGCCAGGTAGTATGCTAAGTGCTGGGGATACAAAAAGAGGCAAAAGGCCATCCTTGCCTCAGAACAATACACTCCAGTGCTCTGTTCCATGCCTTTGTATTGGCTGGTCCCCATGCCAGAAATGATCTACTACCTTGCCTCCTCCTTTTCATTTTCCTTACTTCCTGTAATACCTGGATCAGCCTCTCTTACACACACACACACACACACACACACACACACACACTTCTTATCACAGCACTTACCACAACCTCTGGTATATTACTAAATGCTTTTTAACCAACTGACATCAGAGAAAAGGTTCTGCATAAAAAAAAAAGAACGTTGAACCTCACATCCCACCAGTGAGGGACACCTTCCAGAAAACAAGAAATAATAGTCTTTATGCCATCAGTCCAAATGAAGGGTCATATGATCTTTCTAATGAACAATAATAATAAGATAGTACCAAATTCTTAGAGAATTGTTACTTGTCATTCAATTGATTTTACAATCATTACTTTTTCTTAAACCCTAACAGGGAAACAGCATTTCAGAAAATTTAGACTTCATAGACTCCATGGATTAAATAATATTAAATTATATAATTATATAATAAGATTAAATAATAAAGATACCATTTGAGTTAATTAAATAATGGTAATTAGTTACTTTAAAACCCACTACCCAAAGCCTTGGAATTTTACCTGTATTAAATGCAAAATCATTTTTTTGCAGACTTCAAAAGGGAACTGCCTTCTCACAAAGAAATAGGCTCTAGATGAAAAGAGAACAGGATAAAGCAATATGCAATGTGATTTGCAGCTTATTATAGAAATGAAATATGGATAATGAAGCCTGTTTTCCTTAACTATTTTCTTACCATGCTGACTTCTGTATTTATTTTCTCGTGGTGGTCAACTTTCAGAAAATGGTCACCAGCTCCTCATAAATTTGGCTGCCCTGTGCACCAATACCAGCCTTGGAAAATTCAATTTAAATCAGGCCTAATCATTTCTGCTAGGTGCAAGATGCTTCACAACAGTTTTCATCCTTGAATTGTAACATCACTTTGTACCTCGCTCCTTTCAGATTTGTTCCAATTCTGCTAAAGTCTAATTGGCTGGCGAGGGATTCTGCTGTCACTCAAGTAGCTCCTGCCAGCCTCACTGAGACAATTGGAAGCTCAAATTGACATGTGCTATGGGTCCTGAGGGTCAGTTTTCCCTGGATGAGAAAATGAAGACTGTAAGTAGCCAAAATGCAATGTAAAAGCTAGAGGCTGACACAACTTCTTCCCAGATACATAAGAGATTTTTAGGCAATTTTTATGTCCCTTTTAGTTCTGAAATTCTATGATTATCTTATTTTTATACTACTATTGGATCAGCTCTGTTTAAAAGGTAATTAATAATAATAATAATAATAATAACTGACATTTA